ATCCTGAGTGAGGTAACCCAGACTCAGAAAGACAAATATGGTATGTACTCACTCATAGGAGGATACTAGATGTGGAACAAGGATGACTGGACTGCTACTCACACCACCAGTGAGGCTACGTGGAAAACAGGACCCCCAAGAAAGACATGAGGATCGCCCAATGATGGAGAAGTGGCTGAGATCTACATGAACAACCTGGACATGAGTGGGAGCAATGAAGGGTGAGGGTCGAGGGAAAGAGAGCGGGAGATCCCAGCTGGATCCAGAACGGAGAGGGAGAACAAGGAATAGGAGACCCTGGTAAATGAAGACCACATCAGAAAAGGAAGAAACAAAGTGCTAAAGAGGCCCACATAAATCCACAAAGATACCTCCACAAAAGACTGCTGGCAACGGCCGAGAGACAGCCGGGACTGACCTACTCTGGTGATGGGATGGCCAAACACCCTAATAGTTGTGCCAGAAACCCCATCCAAGGACTGAAGAATCTGGATGAAGACATCCAAGGTTAGGCCCCAGGTGGAACGCCGGGAGTCTAATTAGCGAGAAAGAGGAGGGTTTATTTGAGTGAGAATTGACGAAACCATGGTTGGATAAAGCACAGGGACAAATGGACAAACGAATGGAAACACATGAACTATGAACCAAAGGCTGAGGGGCCCCCAACTGGATCAGGCCCTCTGAATAGGTGAGACAATTGATTGCCTTGATCTGTTTGGGAGGCATCTAGGCAGTGTCACCAGGTCCTGGGCACATTGCATGAGTTAGCTGTTTGAAACCTGGGACTTATGCAGGGACGCTTGGCTCAATCTGGGAGGAGGGGACTGGACCTGCATGGACTGAGTCTATCAGGTCGATCTCAGTCCTTGGGGGAGGCCTTGCTCTGGAGGAGATGGGGGCCTTAGGGGAGGAAGTGGGGGGAGAGCAGGAGGAGGGATGAGAGGCTGGGTTTGGTGGGTTTGTAAAATGAATAAAAAATTATAAATAAAAATAAAATGTTTAAATGTTTAAAAAGCAAAAGAAAAGAAAGCAAAACATCTTTGCCTCATTAAAACGAATGTTCCACAACATAAACAATGTAACACATCTTCAAATAATATTCCACAACACCCCTCCCCTCCTTTCCTGTACCTCTCCCTGCCTCAGCTCTCCCTCTCCATCCCTTTTCTGTCCCCTCTAACCCACAATTATCTCATACTGGCTTCTTCTCATTTTTTATGAGACAGAGTATCTTTGTGTAATACTCCTGCTCAGCATGTAAGAGCACTTTCTATTCTTTCTGAGGACCAGGAGTTCAATCCTCAACAACCACCACTTGGTTGCTGGGGAATAATGTCTGCTGGCCCAATGCCCTCTGGCCTCTGTGTTTGGCCTTCTCTCATGTTCCTCTAATTTATCACCCCAACATCTCCCCCCCACTTCTCCCATTCTGCCTCAATAAAAACCATGTACATGGGGAGCTGAGTTTGTCTCCTCGCTCAAGAACCCCATGACCCTTCCAGCAGGACTCTGGACAGCCACTATCAAACACTACCAGTCACTGTGCCTGCGTAGACTGCTCAGGCTGCAGCTGTTGCTCACCAGGCCTGACCTTGGTAGGTTCAAGGCCTGACCATTGAGACTCCAGTGGGGATGGGGTTGGGGTTAGAGACACGGAGGACTGGACAGCTGTTCACTAAAGAAAAGAGTGACTGACAACCATGTAGCCTTATACCAGCCAATGAGACAGGTTATTCCTGAACCTGCTTGACCAGGGAGCCAGAGATTCATCTGGCTTTATCTTCAGAGTCCCAAGATAGAGAAAGGCAGAGAAGAGGATGTGCTCTGTTTTGTTTGTCACAAAGTTCGGCTGCTGTGTGCTTTATTGGAACAATTATCCTGTGGCATGTTTTTAGGGACAGGGAAGACTGGAAGTCCACCAGGATGTAATCCTGCCTTCAGGTCATTTACAGCCACTCCAGTGTGGTTTCCTATATCCAACTTTTTTCCCAACATTTATTTATATATTATGTGTTCTGAATGTATGCCTGCAGGCCAAAAGATCTCTTATAGATGGTTTGTGAGCCACCATGGGTTGGCTAGGGTTGTTAGGGATTGGACTCACCTCTGAACCATCTCTCCAGCCCCTATATCCAATTACAAATGATGGGTGCACAGCAAAAGTATTTGAGTCCAGTTTTTTTTTTGGGGGGGGGGTGTCTTTTTTTGAGACAGGGTTTTCTATAGCTCTGGAGTCTGTCCTGGAATTGGCTCTATAGACCTGGCTGTCCTCCAACGTGCAAATATCTGCCTATTTAGTAAGGTTAATGTATTAAAAACAAGATGTATATACATAATATACAACATAATATATAATACAACATATAATACATATAAACATAATACAATATATAATATATCATAATATGTAATATACAGTGTGTATGTGTGATTATTATATGTTTATACAAATTTGTATTTATAGAGATGCTAATGTTCTGATAGGCAGAAATAGGAAGCTACTCAAATATATAACAATTGACTGAAATAATACTTTTGTGTAAACATATAATGTATGTTTCAAAGCAATGGTTTAATGATGATCGAGAAATATTTATAAAATATATTATGAAATTGTTGTTTTGACTATGTTTATTAAGAATCGGTATAATAAAACCCAAGTATTTAAGAAAAAAAAGATCTGCCTAACTCTGCATCTCCAGTGCAGGGAATAAAGGCCTGCATAGACACTTCCCAGCAAGTCCTGAATTTTTAGAGCAAGATGTTCCTTTATTGCCCATGTGACACTGAATCTTTCTCTCTTTTCCCATCTCCTGTGTCTTTCTTTCCTTCTCTCCCCGTCCCTCCCCTCCTTTCTTTCCGTTTTCCTTCCTCATCTCTCCACTCTCCTTCCCCTCCCTGTCCCCCCTACATACCTATGTATCTCTGGCTGGCTTCTTCTTTATTTTGATATTGAATTGTTGTTTGTTTGTTTTTTAGTTTTTTGAAACAGGGTTTCTTTAACAGTCCTGGATGTCCTGGAACTTGCATTTAGACCAGGATTGCAAAGAACTCAAGAGACCTGCCTGCCTCTGCTTCTGTTTCTGCATCCCAGAATGCTGGGATGAAAGGCATGGCTGGAATCATCACCCACTCTTCAAGGTGTTTGCTCCCTAGAAACATCTTTCCCATTAACCTTGAGTTTCAAGGAATAGACAGGATTGTGTTCTCTGAGGATCTAGTTATGTTCTATAGACAGAGAATACAATCACCAATGCTGAGTTCTTTCTATATGTGCTTTATTAGAGGGGGCAGTGAGTAGCGACCACAACCAGGCAGGCAGGGATGGTGTAGGCAGTCACTGAGGTCATAAGTCTAATAGTCAACCGTTTTGTATTCAATAGTATGAATTCTGAAAGAAGCAGATGGCGGCCTCACGGTCACAGTTGCAGATGAAGTTCTCACAGGGATTGTTTTTGTCTGCTGGGAAACAAGAAAGGAAGTTGAGTGGAGCCCATGATCCCGATCCCTATGACCTATGGCCAAAAGGAACAGGTTGCCCTCCCATTGATGCAGCTTTGGTCTGAGAAACAAAGCACACAAAAGGACATTGGGTTGTCCAAACTGCTGGAACACACTTATAATAAGAACATTAGTTGTGGGCTGGGGAGATGGCACAGTTGGTAAAGTGGTTGACATACAATCATCAGGGCCTGACCTAGGATGCCCAGAGACCATATAAAAATCAAGGTGTGCTTGGGGCATCTCTAACTCTGTTGGGAAGTGGGAAGCACAGATTCCCAAAATTTGTTGGTCAGTTAGGCTAGCTAAAGGTGAGCGTCATGTTTAGTGAGAGAGAGAGACCCAGGCTCTAATGACATGGTGGAGAGTGACTGAAGAAGACACAGGAAGCCAATTCACTCCTATACATAAAAATAAACACATATATTTAATTCTAAAACCTATAAAACTACAATTATCAGCCAGACGGTGGTGGCTCACACCTTTAATCCCAGCGCTTGAGAGGCAGAGGAAGGTGGATCTCTGAGTTTGTAGCCAGCCTGGTCTATAGAGCAAGTTCCAGTTCAGGCTCCAAAGCTACACAGAGAAACTCTGTCTCAAAAAAATTTAAAAAAAAAAAAAAACAAATATGAATTACTGTTTATAAAATTATAGAATTGAAGAAAATCCTCCTGTATCCACCAAGTGCTGGATTGCAGGTGTGAACCACCAGACTCAATGTATGGGTTCTGGAGGAGGAAGAGGGCTCTGTGCATGCTAGGCAAGCTCTCTAACAACTGATCTACATTCCCAGCCCTCTGAATCCTCACCTTTAAAATAAAAATGATAAACGTTGCCCTGCATAGGTGTTTACTCCAGTATCTGGCTTATAGCCAATGATGCAGCTTTCAGTTGTTTAGTCAATATGGAATCAGTATAAAACAGCAGCTAAGAGGAGAGGTTTTAGAGAGGCAAGATGGCTCAGGGAATACAGGCACTTGCTGCCAGGTCGGAACCCACGTTCCATCCCCGGGACTCACATGGTTGAAAGAGAGAACAGACTTCTGCAAGTTGTCCTCAGACCTCCGCACCTGTGTTGTGCACAGAAATGCCTCCCCCAGAAATAAATAAAATCTTGAAATGTTTTTAAAAAGAGGATTTGGGATGATGTACATCTGTGTTCCAGAACCAAATGTCATCACTTCTAAGCTGGGTGACCTTGGGCAAGTGGCCCAGCCTTCCTCATCTTCCTCATCAGTGACCTCATCTATATTTTAGTGTCTACCTGATAAGGTTGCTGTGAGGTCAAATGAGACCAAGGAAATGACAACTAAATGGTGACTGTCCTTGTTAGTTCCCTGTCCCTTCCAAACCCGTGAGGGCCAAGCAGAATCCAGGGGTCCCAGAGGGTAAACCTACCACTGCAGGTGACCTCATTCTTAGAACATGAGAATGAGTAGGCGCTGGTGTAGGGGTTCTCTATGAGGGATTTGCAGCTTTCCATCTTCATGACCTGACCGTAGCAATTGTGAAGAGTCTGGCAGCATCTGGAGAGAGGAAGGAACAGCTGAGGAAGGACTATGGACCTACAGCAGGTCAGTTCTCACTTTCAGTCTTTCTCAAACATGTGAAGATGACTTAAACATGATGTTCCAGAAGAAATGGTCCTGAGGCTTGAGAGGCTGTGATTTCTATTAAGTATATATTTATTGAAAGCAACTTCTGAGGAGTGTGGTAATGTTTACCAGTAATTCCAGTACTTGGTAAGCAGAGGGAGATAAATCTCTGAGTTCAAGTTCAGCATGGTCTCCAGAAGGAATTCCAGGAAACCTAGGGCTACACAGAGAACCCCTTTCTGGAAACTTACAAACAAAATGTATTATGTCTGGTGAATTTGCATGTCTCCTATTTGTGCCTCATGAGATGCTCTGCTGTGTCCTGTCCCCACCAACCCAGATAATCCAGTCTCCTACCAGATGGAACACTCACGGGTCTAAATCATCCTCTGTAGTGTCTGAGCTCCCAAAGCCACAGTAGGAGGCATAGTCGTGGTACTCCGCCAAGAGACCATTCCCAGGGTTGGTGCAGTTGATCACATTTTTGAACTGAGTCAAAGCCCGACGGCTGATGCTATGTGCAGTAGCGCCTGCTGCAAGAATGCACAGCACACTCCATCAATACCACTTGGCTATTACCAAGGGTCTGATGCCCGCCTGCTAGCTTCCTCCTGACTCCTACCAGCTGCTGCATCATGAGAACAGTGAATAGAGCAGTGTGTGTGTGTGTGTGTGTGTGTGTGTGTGTGTGTGTGTGCAAGTGTGTGCAAGTGTGTGCAAGTGTGTGCAAGTGTGTGCAAGTGTGTGCTTGCCTGCACACAGGTTCACAGGTATGCACTTGTTAACACTCATAAAATGTCATGCTATACAGGAGAAGTCCAGAAGGCAGTTTTAGGGAGATGGTTTTCACTCTCTACCATGTAGGTATTTTAGAGTCACCCGACTTGGGCAGATAGTTGTCTACCTATTAGAGATAGGGAGTTGTCCTGTCACCCAGGCTAGCCTCGGACTCTGTAGGAACCCTCTGGCCTCAGCATCCCAAATGGTAGGATTATAAATGAACATTACTGTACCAGGCTGGGCTGACTCCCCAGACTAAGTTCTATAGTCACTGCCTTTTACCTTGCCTACCTTCTCATTTCTCACTGTCAGGACAGACAGCTGCCACACTGTGAGCTGCCCTGTGGTCCCTGTGTTGAGGAGCTGAGAACACTCTCCAGTCAGCAGCCAGGGACAAACTGAACTCTTAGTTCCATAACCCAACAATCCAACCATCTCTTGAGTTTGAAAGCTGCCCCACCCCTACTCAAGACTAGGTGAAACCCTGACCTTAGCCAGCAGTGAGATTCATCACAGTTCTAGCTGAGATTTTGAGGCAGAGAAGCATTGAAGACAAGAGAGATGGGGAGTCACCCAGAGGGAACAACGGTCCTACCTGTGAGCAGAGTGACCAGCAGAAGGAGTTTCATCCTGAGTGTGTGGAGGACTCAAGTGACTTCTCTCTTTATAGTTCTGTATATAATCCTAACCCTTGGGAGGCTGAGGTAAGTCTTGGCTAGAATGTTGAGTTGGAGGACAGCCTAAGCCAGAATTATATAATCCTGTGGGGGAAAAAAGAATAAGGACTGAAGAGATGGCTCTGAAGTCAGGAGCACTTGTTGAGCTTGTGTGGGACCCAGACTCAGGTCCAGCAGTCACAAGGCAGCTCACAACTGCCTATGACCCCAGTTCTGGAGGATCAGACCCCTTCTCTGGCCTCTGTAGGCACTGCTCACACTCAGTTCACAGACACACATGCAGGCAAAGGGTTCATATACATAAAATAAAAGTCAATGTTTTTTAAAAGGAAAAGAAAAATCACATTGTCAGGGTACCTTAGGACCAAGGAAATGGGAGCCAGGGCAATATGGCAGAGACGGAAGGGACTTACTTCATTGCTTGCAGAGGTGACTGTAGTGGACTTTCCTAAGGAGTCATCTGAGTTGACTTAGAGGGTAGAGGTGCCAGCTGCTGTGGACACGGGGTGAACATTGAACCGCAAACCACAAGCTATTAGACTCCAACAGGAAACCCAAACCAGAAATTCAGGTGTGACCAGCAGGGCCTGCACATTGAATACAAGGGAGATGAGGGGCACTCAGAGGAGACAAGGGTCCTACCTGTGAGCAGAGCGACCAGCAGAAGGAATTTCATCCTGAGTGAGGGGAGGACTCAGTGACTTCTCTTTAGAGTCCTGTAGCTGTGCTCTGACAGTGTCCAGTCAGCACACAGAACTTGTGACTACTGTGTGTGTAGCACAGAAGTAGAATATGTGCACCCTCACACACAGTCCCGACCTGCAGAGCTGCTGTAGATGGTGACAGAGCCTGAATCAGTACTGTCACAGAGGCACAGAGAGAGGGCTAGCTCAACACCCCAACCAGCTCAAGTCAGTGACTGGCAAAGTGCCAACTACCTCCCGCATGGATGCTCTGAGGTCATAAGAAGATACACACATTGCTCCTTGAGTCAGATCTGAAGGATGCAGATAGTGACATGCTGCCCCATGCAGGAGCAGCTGGCCCCTACAATCCTCTATGTTAACTGTATAAACTACATTCTAAGTCTTTCAAAAGAATCTGACACAGCCTCTGAGATAGATCCAGTTACATATTTAATCTTTAATTAATTAACCAATTAATTAATGTGTGTTATTCTGTGGAAAAGAGACAGAGACAGAGAGACAGAAAGAGCACTGGTGTGTACATGTGGAGGCCAGAGAAGAACAATGTGCAGTCAGGTCTCTCCTTCTTCCTTTAAATGGGTTCCAGAAATCTAACTCAAGTCAAGAGACTTGTATTGTAGACTGCATCTTACTAACCTATGAACTTATTTAAAAACTGGAAATGTAGGCAGGTGGTGGTGGTGGTGGTGGTGGTGGTGCTCGCCTTTAATCCCAGCACTTGGGAGGCAGAGGCAGGCGAATATCTGAGTTTGAGGCTAGCCTGGTGTCAGAGTGAATTTAAGGACAGTCAGAGATACATCAAGAAACACTGTCTAAAAAAAA